GACCTGTTGTGTGATGTGTACTGGAAATGCAGCTGATAGTAGTGACAGAGCTGGCCAGAGGGTGGGGGGTAGGAGGGGAAAGAGGAGGCAGATGTGATGAATGTTCTATAATGGAAATGAACCTATGAAAGTGGCAGACTTAGGGGGCAAGAAAAAGAAGGGGGGGAAGGGAACCAAGAGGGCAGATATGTTTGTAATGAATAATGAAAATGTAATGATCAACATGTCAGAACTGAGGGGGGGGAGGAGGGAAGGGGGATACAGACATGTGGTGAGTATTGTATGATGTATGGAGTGTGACAAAAGGGGGGGGGGGGGAAGAATGAGAGAATATGAAACTAATGAATAATAAGTCTGAGAAGAGGGAAGAAGAGACAAAAAAAAAAAAAAAAAAAATATACACCCTCTGATGCGGGTGTATATTAAAAATATGTGATACACTGGTGTAATTGTATTGGTTTAATTGATCGCAGGGAATCTGTGTGTATATATATATATATATATATATATATATATATATATATATATATAAATAAATAATCCAAGTTCACACCGCACATGATGGAGCTGAACATGATAATGAAGACTAATTAATAAAACAATGAGAGCAATCGTGCAATAAAACCATATAAACCCTTGTGGCCAGGGGCGGATGGACCACCTGAGGATCTGGAGCCAGCAGGGGCCCCATGAGATGCCCCCGGAGCCTCCCCATGGGCCCTCCCGAGTGTGGGCAAGGACACAGGTGCCCAAAGACCCCCCACTGACCAGGGGTCCCACGAGCCAACAGTCCGCCCCTACTTTTGGCCATGATAGCAGGAGAATGACATCTCTAGGGACTAAAACGGTGATATGCCTAATGTATTGACCACAAAGAAAGTGACTTACCGTATTTTCCGACGTATAAGACAACTTTTCAACACAAGAAAAACTTCTGAAAAGTCGGGGGTCGTCTTATACGCCGGTATACGGCGAGCCGGTGTCAGGGCGGCACTTTTTCGAGGGGCGGTGCGGTGCCGCCCCCCCCTCCTCCTTCAACGGACACTAAGTACAGGGGTGGGCAGAGGGGCTGCTGTACCTTACCTGGCTCCGGATCCGGTCCAGGAAGCGCAGCTGCTCCTTCTTTCAGTACGGCCGCTCGGCTCCGCCTCCTCACCGGTGATTGGGCGCCAGCACTGGAAAGGCACACAGGCGACCAATCACCGGCCAGGATGCGGAGCTGAGCGGGCCCTGCGAAAATCTGAAAGATGGAGCAGCCGCTGCTCTTCCCCACTGACACTAACAATGGGGCACTATTCCTCCTCCACACTGACACCAACGATGAGGCACTGTTCCTCCCCCACTGACACCAACGATGGGGTACTATTCCTCCTCCCCACTGACACCAACGATGGGGCACTATTCCTCCTCCCCACTGACACCAACGATGGGGCACTATTCCTCCTCCCCACTGACACCAATGATGGGGCACTATTCTCCCCACTGATACCAATGCTGGGGCACTATTCCTTCCACTGATACCAATGATGGGGCACTATTCCTCCCACTGACACCAATGATGGGGCGCAATTCCTGCCACTGATACCAATGCTGGGGCACTATTCCTTCTACTGATACCAATGATGGGGTGCTATTCCTCCACTGACACCAATGATGGGGCACTATTCCTCCCACTGACACCAATGATGGGGCACTATTCCTCCCACTGACACCAATGATGGGACACTATTCCTTCCACTGACACCAATGATGGGGTGCTATTCCTCCCACTGATACCAATGATGGAGCACTATTCCTCCCACTGACACTAATGGGGCACTATTCCTCCCACTGACACCAATGATGGGGCACGATTCCTCCCACTGATACCAATGATGGAGCACTATTCCTCCCACTGATACCAATGATGGAGCACTATTCCTCCCACTGATACCAATGATGGAGCACTATTCCTCCCACTGATACCATGATGATGGAGCACTATTCCTCCCACTGATACCAATGATGGGACACTATTCCTCCCACTGACTAATGATGGGGCACTATTCCCCCACTGACACTAATGATGGGACACTATTCCTCACACACTGACACTAATGATGGGGCACCATCATTGGTGTCAGTGGATGAAATAGTGCCCCATCATTGGTGTCAGTGGGAGGAGTAGTGCCTCATCATTGGTGTCAGTGGGAGGAATAGTGTCCCATCATTGGAATACCATACTGAAATAGCATACCATATTGAAATCAAATCTGATGTTTTTTCATTTTTATTTGGTGTGCGTTGGAAGAGGGGTAGTCTTATACGGCGAGTATAGCTCAAACCCTATATTTTAACAGGAAAAGTAGGGGGTCATCTTATACGCCGGAAAATACGGTATCTTAAAGATATCCCATCACCCAGATGGGCATATATATAAAAAAAAAAAAAAAAAAAGGGGGAGTGAGTCAAGGGGGATAAATATTTAAAAACTAGATGAGAGATTGGATGTCCAACCCCTCATTTAGCCCTCTGGGTGATAGTGTGCCCAAGCGGTGGATACTCTAAAATGCTTACTGTAGGGGCTTGTTCATATTTGAGACAGGCCTTGCTGCCACTCTGAATCTCTTTTCAGAGGTGCTTGGCTTCTGCAGGCAGAGTATCTCCTCCTCGTCACCTGATTTCATCCAGAAAGTGTTGCACCATAGTGTTGCAATTGTATGTAATGCACTCATTTGTGGCACATTCCCACAGACTAGACTTGCAGCTCAAAGCAACATGCTGTATAATTTTTTGCAGCGACCACAGCATGTGTGTAATCCTCCAGTTGTATGTTGCATGGTGTTCAGGTGGATGGTAGAGGAGCAATAAAACCTTGGCTCACCTACCTAGTTTTACCGCACTCTGGTCACAGGCAAGTCTAAGCTGATGTGTTTTTTGTTACAATTATGTGTACATATACATGCTGGAGCATGGCAAATTTCACTAGCTACCATACGTTTTGCAGCAGAAACTAGAAACAAGGTCTCATGTACTGCCACCATTTTTCTTTCTGCTGCTGTTTCTTATTTCAGCAGCTTTTGGTAAGCAAAATCATTGGCACCCATCTCACTATAAGCTTCAATAACTTGATCTATTGACACACACAGCGTGGCTTGGCCCTACTTCCCACTCTCTGCTCACAAGATTTGATTGACAGCAGCAGGAGCCAATGGCTCCCGCTTCTGCCTCTGTTAGCAAAGAGAGAGGAGCAATGCAGATAGGCACAGCACCAGATTGAGATCAGGCTCAGGTAAGTATACCGGGGGGTGCGCTTGTGATACAAGTACTGGGACATTTTTTGCCTTAATGAAGGAATGCATTAAGGTAAAAAATATCCAGACCTTAGAACCACTTTAAAGCTCCCAAGGCACAGTAGACTGCTTAAAAACTTTAAAACTGTAGGTTGTGGTCATATAGTGTTTAGCCACAGTAAAATCTAAATATCATTAGTTTTAATTTTGCCTGCTACAATGTGTCAAGTCCTTGAGTGAAAGAATGTCACCAGCACACCACTGATCTCCAAAATGGGCCAAAGCTTTAATCCGCAATCACATCCTTGCAGCAGAAGCAACGTTTTGTAGCCTCACTTGACCCTTCATCAGGCATGTGACAATGCGAGGCTCCAAAACGTTGCTTCTGCTGTAATGATGCGAACGCTGATTAAAGCTTTGGACCCATTTTGGAGATTAGCGGTGTGCCGAGACATTCTTTACTCAGATTGTCTTCAGTTCCAGCCGATAGTCGCTGGAGCCATTTCTATAGGAATGTGTGTGTTGGGAATAATATGCTGAAACCCTTGTTAAGGACAGTCATATACAGGCTAGAATTTATAAGGGATAATGTAATTTCCATTATCACTTGTGTGAATATGTAGAAAAACCTCAGCAATCAACAACAGATTATTCCTTTTTACTAGAGAGTTAACTAGTTGTGCTATCTGTAAGGGTAAAAATTTGCAGTGGTTCCTGCGAGCGCACATTGTGGCAAACAAGGGAAGGTCTTCCATTGGTATTGTTTCTGGCTTTACTTTTACACAAAATATAACATTTTCACTTGATGCTGTTCTTTTTCAGTGTCCTGTTTGCCAAGTTCATGCAGAGTGTTCCACCAGACCAACTGGTTCATCAGACACTGGCCTGCATGTGCAAAGTGGTAGAGAGCGACCTCTTTCTACAACAAGGTGAGGACTATATTTGCCATGCAAGAAGCAGGAACATTATTAAAAATTGGTTTCTTTAGAATAAACTAACCTCGATATTATCACGAATTGTAGATTGGACATATAGTTCACAAGGGAAGTGTTGGGTAGATATGGAAGGGACTTTAAGTGAGGCACAATTGGAGAAGATTATTTGGATACCACATAAGTTTCATATATTAGATGTGAACACTAGTTCGTTGACAAGGAAAGTTTTAAGAGTCTGGGATATACCGTATTTTTCGCTCCATAAGACGCACTTTTTTCCCCCACAAAAAAGGGGGGAAAGTGTCAGTGCTACTTATGGAGCGAATATGGAGCATCCGGTCCAGTATTTCCACCGCCACCGTGTCAGAATACTGGGCCGGCCGCTCAGCTCTGCAGTGGGATCTTACCTGTTCCTCTATCCAGCGGCGCGCTGTCTTCCCAGCTTCTGTAGTGTGCGTGACAGCCGGGTCCCAAGTGCGCATGCGCAAGAAGGGGTGCTCTTTGTGAATGGTAAGGCGGTACCTGGGACACATGACAGATCCCAGAAGCCGCCGGACCAATCACAAAGCGCAGCGCTTCTCGCTCATGCGCACTGGGCATGCGGCTGTCCGCCGAGCGCCCACACTACAGAAGCCGGGAAGACAGCGCACAGCTGGATAGAGGAACAGGTAAGATCAAAGAACAACTCCGCGGAAGTAAGAGCGGGTACCTGTCAAATTCAGGTACCCGCTCCCCCTCCCTCCCCAAAGGTCAGCAGTCATCTCCTGTACTGTCCGCAGTCTCTGGTCATCTCCTCTACTATGTCCGCAGTCTCTGGTCATCTCCTGTACTGTGTCTGCAGTCTCTGGTCATCTCCTGTACTGTGTCTGCAGTCTCTGGTCATCTCCTGTACTATGTCTGCAGTCTCTGGTCATCTCCTGTACTATGTCCGCAGTCTCTGGTCATCTCCTGTACTGTGTCTGCAGTCTCTGGTCATCTCCTGTACTGTCCACAGTCTCTGGTCATCCCTGTACTGTTCGCAGTCTCTGTTCATCTCCTCTACTATGTCCACAGTCTCTGGTCATCTCATGTACTATGTCTGCAGTCCATTAGTTCAGTGCGTCTTATGATCAGGTGCGTCTTACGGAGCGAAAAATACAGTAATATACAAGCAAAAGGGATGGAAATATAATTTAATATTGACTCCCTTGGTGGGAACAGAGTATTTCCCTCCAGGGAAGGATAATATTTCCGGGAAGTGGATTAAAATTAAAAATGCATGTTTGAAGGATATATTGTTTAAAGGGAAACTGCACACTTTTCAAGATTTAAAGAAGAAAAAAGATTTATTTTTCACATTAGATGAGTGGCGTTATCAATTAGGTAATTTTGTTTCAATGCTTCTACAACCACTGAGGACATCGGAGGATCTGTACTCTTTTGAAATATTGTTGAATGTAAATATAGTACAAAAACAAGTTACCTGTAGGATTTATAAGATCCTTGTGGATATGGAAGGAGTTGATCCTTCCCTGTTCTTGGTGAAATGGGAAAAGGAGCTTGGAACAGAAGTGAATGAGCAACAAAAGAATAGAATACTTAAATTAAAACATAAGGTGAGGAATATGAGCACAGTTGAAATCAATTACAAGTGTTTGGCGAGATGGCACAGAAACAGCAATTAGATGTTTCACCTCTGTGCTGGAGAGGTTGTGGGATTAAAGGAACAATGGCACATATATGGTGGGAATGTCCTAAAATACAGGAGTATTGGAAGGAAATAATCCAACATATCCAGGAGATTTCTGGGATCACCGTACAGAAAGACCACTGGGTGTTTATTTTTTCATTTTACCCTTTGACCCTTCAGTATCATTTAGTCAGTGCAGCTAAGGGCCTGATTCCCAAGTTTTGGCAGGTCCAAGAGCCCCCAAGAATAGATTGGATAATTACAGTGGAAAATATACATAGCATGGAGGAGTTATATCATATGGAGGAGGATAAAATGGAAAAATTTAGGAAAACGTGGAGTAGTTGGTCAGATTTTTAAACATCTAAAAGATACTCAGAATTAGTTGGAGTTTAAGGTGAAAGGTGTAGTTTTAGAGTAAGATGGAATATTTGAAAGAGAGAGTGGAGATACGAGGGAAGGGACATAGATATAGACAGAAAAACATGGGAGGATTAGAAATTAAGAAAGAGGATATGGACAGAGGTAATTGGATGGGGGGAGAGGGCGGGAGAATGGGCGAGGTAGGGGGTAAGGAAATGCAAAAAGGGAATTGGTGTTCTTTGTGAATTGTATGAGTATAAAGTTGTTCGGTTTTTTACTGAAACATTTAATTAAAAACATAATAAAAACAAAATAACCCTTTAAATGTATGTAAAGGCATTCTTTTTTTTTTTTACATTTTGGATAAAGTTTGGAGGTGTTAGGCCCTCTTTACACCTAAGCATATCAGAATCGCGGGCTGAATTGTGCGATTCCAGAATTGCAGCAAAACATGTGACACACTTGCAGTGCCATTATTTCCTAATGGCACCCCAAAAGTGGTGCAATTTTGCTGCATGACAAAACCAGGAAAAAATCGTGGTTAAACGAGCCTAGCTCACTGTCAAAATTTGATACATCAGCTTCTTTGGTGTGACAAAAGCGCATAGGGCAGTGCATTCAAGTGAATAGTCTGCCCAATGAGTATCATGCAGAAATGCATGTAAATCTTGCAAAAAAAAACCAAAAACATCTGTGGGAACTTGCATTCCTGCAATGCAAAGTGTGGAAGGGACCTTAGACCTTTTATTAAGTTTATATTACTGCCTCTGTCCCCACTGGGGAGATCCACCCCTCTATTTCTGCTGTATACTGGACCACTTTATTTTTAAAAAAATAAATTGTGGTTTGCGTATGGACTTTACGTTTACTTATTCAAGTATCAAAAGGATGGGGCTGACAGGAGCCCAGCTTGGAGATCGACACCCACTGCATGATAACAGCCAGGAGGTTGAGCTAAGCTCACTTGTTTGGTGAGACCCTTCTATTTGTCTTTGTGACCATTATCACTTAGACCAGCGGTTCTCAACCTGGGGGTCGCGACCCCTTTGGGGGTCGAACGACCATTTCACAGGGGTCGCCTAAGACCATCGGAAAAACATATTTCCGATGGTCTTAGGAACCGAGACACCGCTCCTGTCTCCGGCGATGTGTGGGCGGGATGATATGCTGCCCCTGTCACCGCCTCCTCGCCGCTGATTGGCCACCGGAACTGTAGCTCAGGAGAGGCACACAGGCGGCCAATCACCGGCGAGGAGGTGGAGCTTGGAGAGGAGGAGCCGAGCGGCAGCGCGCGTAGATCAAAGAAGATCGAGGGAGCTGCAGGAGCGAGTGAAGAGAGAGGCCAGAGATGGAAGACAGCTGACAGGTAAGTGCAAATTTTGCTGCTGCAGCCAGGTATGCAGGCTGTAGATGGGAGAGGGAGAGAGCGAGCCCAGGCTGGAGCAGGAGTCAGCAAGGTAAGTATCATTGGTGTCAGTGGGAGGGATAGTGCCCCATCATTTGTGTCACTAATACCAACGATGGGGCACTATTCCTCCCCCCCACTGACACCAACGATGGGGCACTATTCCTCCCCCCCACTGACACCAACGGTGGGGCACTATTCCTCCCCCCCACTGACACCAACGATGGGGCACTATTCCTCCCCCCACTGACGCCAACGATGGGGCACTATTCCTCCCCCCACTGACGCCAACGATGGGGCACTATTCCTCCCCCCACTGACGCCAACGATGGGGCACTATTCCTCCCCCCACTGACGCCAACGATGGGGCACTATTCCTCCCCCCACTGACGCCAACGATGGGGCACTATTCCTCCCCCCACTGACGCCAACGATGGGGCACTATTCCTCCCCCCACTGACGCCAACGATGGGGCACTATTCCTCCCCCCACTGACGCCAACGATGGGGCACTATTCCTCCCCCCACTGACGCCAACGATGGGGCACTATTCCTCCCCCCACTGACGCAACGATGGGGCACTATTCCTCCCCCCACTGACGCCAACGATGGGGCACTATTCCTCCCCCCACTGACGCCAACGATGGGGCACTATTCCTCCCCCCACTGACGCCAACGATGGGGCACTATTCCTCCCCCCACTGACGCCAACGATGGGGCACTATTCCTCCCCCCACTGACGCCAACGATGGGGCACTATTCCTCCCCCCACTGACGCCAACGATGGGGCACTATTCCTCCCCCCACTGACGCCAACGATGGGGCACTATTCCTCCCCCCACTGACGGCAACGATGGGGCACTATTCCTCCCCCCACTGACGCCAACGATGGGGCACTATTCCTCCCCCACTGACGCCAACGATGGGGCACTATTCCTCCCCCCACTGACGCCAACGATGGGGCACTATTCCTCCCCCCACTGACGCCAACGATGGGGCACTATTCCTCCCCCCACTGACGCCAACGATGGGGCACTATTCCTCCCCCCACTGACGCCAACGATGGGGCGCTATTCCTCCCCCCACTGACGCCAACGATGGGGCGCTATTCCTCCCCCCACTGACGCCAACGATGGGGCGCTATTCCTCCCCCCACTGACGCCAACGATGGGGCGCTATTCCTCCCCCCACTGACGCCAACGATGGGGCGCTATTCCTCCCCCCACTGACGCCAACGATGGGGCGCTATTCCTCCCCCCACTGACGCCAACGATGGGGCGCTATTCCTCCCCCCACTGACGCCAACGATGGGGCGCTATTCCTCCCCCCACTGACGCCAACGATGGGGCGCTATTCCTCCCCCCCACTGACGCCAACGATGGGGCGCTATTCCTCCCCCCACTGACGCCAACGATGGGGCGCTATTCCTCCCCCCACTGACGCCAACGATGGGGCGCTATTCCTCCCCCCACTGACGCCAACGATGGGGCGCTATTCCTCCCCCCACTGACGCCAACGATGGGGCGCTATTCCTCCCCCCACTGACGCCAACGATGGGGCGCTATTCCTCCCCCCACTGACGCCAACGATGGGGCGCTATTCCTCCCCCCACTGACGCCAACGATGGGGCGCTATTCCTCCCCCCACTGACGCCAACGATGGGGCGCTATTCCTCCCCCCACTGACGCCAACGATGGGGCGCTATTCCTCCCCCCACTGACGCCACCGATGGGGCGCTATTCCTCCCCCCACTGACGCCACCGATGGGGCGCTATTCCTCCCCCCACTGACGCCACCGATGGGGCGCTATTCCTCCCCCCACTGACGCCACCGATGGGGCGCTATTCCTCCCCCCACTGACGCCACCGATGGGGCGCTATTCCTCCCCCCCCACTGACGCCACCGATGGGGCGCTATTCCTCCCCCCACTGACGCCCACGATGGGGCGCTAGTCCTCCCACTGCAAAATTACAGTTATGAAGTAGCAACGAAAATAATTATATGGTTGGGGGTCACCACAACATGAGGAACTGTATTAAGGGGTCGCGGCATTAGAAAGGTTGAGAACCACTGACTTAGACAGATAGTGAGGTTAAATCAAATAATTCTCATTGCAAGTGGTGAGAAAAAATACTTTACTGGGAACACCTGTTCCTATAATGGAAATTCTGTTTATTTTGGAAATATTTTTTTGTCACTTCCTGTTGCAACTCCTAGACTTGACTTCCCCATTGGGATGCAGATAGCAAAAAATAACGTGCCATGGATTTTAAAGCAATTGTAAAGGCTCGTCTTTTATTTTTTAGAAATAAACATGTCATACTTACCTGCTCTGTGCAATGGTTTTGCATAGAGGAGCCCTGATCCTCCTCTTCTTGGGTCCCCTGCTGGTGCTCTTGGCTCCATCCCCTTGATGAGTGCCCCTAGAGTAAGCCACATGCTCTGGGGCACTCGTGCATGCTTGCTCTGAGCTGACTCTACAAGACAAATGGAGCGCACCCCCTGCTCCCTCCTCACTGGCTGTGATTGACAGCAGTGGGAGCCAATGGCTGCTGTGTCTCAGTGAGTGAGGAGAGGGGGAGCCTTTGCTCTCATGCAGATCACTGGATCAAGATGGGGCTCAGGTAAGTATTTAGAGGGGCTGCTGGGGGCTGCTACTAACAGAACTGTTTTTATCTTTGTGCCGGGAATGCATTCAAGTAAAAAATATTTAGCCTTTACAACCACTTTAACCTTCCTTATTCTATCTTAAACAACAAAAATATGTTTTGGCTTTACATACCCTAAAAAATCT